TTATCTCTGGCCGCAAGATATCCGTCGTAATTGACGGATTCTCCTCCTCATCCCACAACGTCAACGCGGGTGTTCCCCAGGGATCGGTCTTGGCTCCAACACTGTTTCTCTTACATATCAACGACCTCCTTTCCTGCACGATCAACCCAATCCACAGCTTCGCTGATGACAGCACTCTACATGCAGGAATTCAGAGCGACAAGCCGATCTCTGCCGCTGAGCTGGAAAAAAGAAGACTAGCGACGACTTCTTCTCTGACAAGAGACCTGGAGGCTATCACTGCTTGGGGACGCAACAATCTTGTACAGTTCAATGCTTCCAAAACACAGTACTGTACTTTGACGAACAAAAAGCGTCCTAGCGCTCATACAGTTTCGATGGATGGTCGAGTTCTACCAAAGAGCCATTCATTTCGGCTGGTCGGAGTCCAGATCACCGAGGACCTGATCTGGCACGAATACATCTCTTCAATAGCTGAAGCTGCTGGGAAAAAGCTAGGCTATTTGTTTAGGGCTAAGAAGTACTTTTCTCCGCATGACCTTCTCACTCTATACAAGGCCCAGATAAGGCCTAGCCTCGAGTATTGCTCACACATTTGGGGTGCTGCCGCCTCGACTACATTGTCCATGCTCGATGCTGTCCAGAGGAGGGCGGTCCGACTGATCGATGACTCTTCTCTAACAGACAGTCTCGGGACTCTTTCGCACCGGCGGGCCGTCGGCGATCTAGCTCTTTTCTATCGCTACACCAACGGGCTTTGCTCCTGAGAGCTCTCTTCCATGATGCCGCCGCGCGATGTGCCTGCCAGACAGACCCGCCTGACTTCGGCGTCCCATCCTAACCGTGTCAAACTTCGTACATCCAGAACTGGCCGATACGACCGCTCCTTTGTCCCGAGGGTGTCTAGATTGTGGAACAAACTACGGGAGGAAGCTTTTCCCAGTTCTACTAACCTTAGGCAGTTCAAAAATCGTATTAACAAAATTTCTTTGGGATCATCATAGCAGCCGCGGTGTTCCGGCATTTAGGCTTCTGCCTGCGCGGCTGTTTCGATATAAAAAAAAAAAAAATAACAAAATTGACGCCAAATGTTGATAATTTATTATTAAAGCATCAGGTTCATCCTTCTCACTAGAAATATTGACTTATTGCTTATGTTATTTTATTTATAGTTTATTTTATTTTTATTGGTGTCTGACCAATAAATGCCCGCATTGGGAATAAGTGCCCGCATTGATTTTTTTAAATTTTAATTTTTTTTTTCAATGCGGGCACTTATTCCCAATGCGGACACTTATTGGTCAGACACCTGTGTATTTAATGTTACGTATATTTTACATAACAGATACAAAATTTTATTTTGGGTAGTTTTAATTTAAATTCAATTAATAAATGTATAAATTAACATGTGTTTTTACTTTAAGTTTTTAACACTAAACTTCACTACAGTTAGAAATATACAGGAAATCAATATCAGGTAAGTAGGGGGTCTACCCAACACGGCAAAACATGGCAAGGGGTCCACGACACAAAAAAGTTTGGGGAACTCTGATCTAGACACTTGGTTGCCTCGAAAATAATAATTTTCAATCAAGCCTTGAATATGAGTGATCTTAGAGTTTTTCATACTTCAAATCGCTTATAACTCGAAAACGATTATTTTGGGAGAAACGGTGCTACGAACCTCATTAGTCTAGAATGAATCGAGAAGTCTAAGGGACCCGGAGCGAAAAACCAATTATTTATGATTCGTTTTGAAACAATGCTTTATTAAATTTGCACCAGAAATGCCAACTATTATGGCAGTTGGACTCCCAAGGGATATCGCGAATACAGGTACACAACTACTGCTCGTTATTTACCGATAGCAATACGAACTTAGTTTAATAGTTAATCAGGTTGCCTCAAATCGTCCATGGAAATTGAAATATCTAACTAGGCTTTGAGAGCAATACTGTGTTTCACAAATATTGATTTATTCTGTTCGAGTAATCTGGATTGGAAGATAAGATAATCAGCTTAAGCCCCGTAATGTTCAAAAGTGATTGATAACCAACATTGACAGAAAAATTCTAGAATGCTGACTTTCGACTCCGGCAGATTTGGAACTTCTTTCCCGGTCTATGAGGTCATCCTGTTCGTTACATAACATCGATCAAAGAATCGCTGTCTTATTTTTCCTGGAAACTAATTTTTCAACCACAATGTAGCTCCCCGGTGGCCATGTTATGTAATTTAAGGTTTGGCGGCGAACTCGGATACCGTACGGAGTCGTAAACTTCGCTAGACGCGGTTTAATGGCCCGCTAAGGCTGTGCTTACATTCTAAATGTTCCAGGTTGTACTTTAAGAACGGTAACGCTGAGGATTCTTCCAAAAAGTGTACAACACGAACAAAAGAAGACAGACAAAGCGACTAAAATTAGAGAGAGATAAGCTGGCCATCTGTTACAATTTGCAGGGACAAAATGTCGCATGAATGTCATGTAGGGTTAATAGCGAGAGGTGAATGCGCTGTTGCCAGTTTTTACGTGAATTTATTATTCATCACTTGTAGTGGAAAATTGTGCATTTTTTTGTAAAAAAATATTTTATATTTAGACATATTTTTTTGTAGTGAGGATATCTATACTAAGTGACATATAAATCCGAACACCCAGTTTAAATGGTTTTATTTTAATAAAATTTTGTATAAGTACTTAATGAAGCATAATAAGTAAATGATAAAAATTTCAAAATGATTGCACTGCTTTAAAGCCCTTTGACCTTTAATAATGTGTGGATGCCCCCTGATGTGCTACGCATTCTCCAACGCGCCTAGGCATGCTTCTGATCAGGTGGTCAATGTCCTCCTGTGGTATTTCATTCCAGGCAACCACCGACTCCTCTCGAAGTGCTTCTAGAGTCTGAGGAGGACGTTGCAAATTGAGCAATCTCCTACCCATCATATCCCACACGTGCTCAATTGGGGATAGGTCGGGAGATCTTGGTGGCCATGGTAACAATGTGACATCATTATGTTGAAAGAAGTCTATTGCGAATCTTGCAATATGTGGTCGGGCATTGTCTTGTTGGAAAGTTGGATCTGCCAGGGTGTCAAGATAGGGTAAAAGATGGGGTTCTAGAACTTCGTGGATATAATGCTGCGCGTTCATGTTACCTCTGATGAAGATTAAAGGTGACCTGAAACCATAAGCTATAGCACCGCAAACCATAACTCCAACAGTGTGATGAACATGTCTTTCAACAAAAAACTGTGGATTCCTCCTTTCACCACGTCGCCTTCTAACCCTGGCACGACCATCGTGCATGCCTAAACAAAATCGAGACTCGTCACTAAAGACAATACTGTTCCATTCCTGATCCCAGAGTGACCGTTGTCTGCACCACTCAAGGCGATTACGTCGGTGTTCTCGAGTTAAAGGGAGGACCCAGTGTGGCCGGTATGAAAACAAGCCAAAACTTCTCATTCGTCGGTAAACACTTCGCATGCCAATAGGTCTTCCGTGTTCTGCAAACCATTCATTTGCAATGGACCTGGTAGTGGAGAAACGGTCCCTTAAGGCCAATAATCTTAGGCGGCGATCTTCACGGTCTGTTGTTCTACGGCGGCGTCCAGTGCCCCTTGCTCGTTGCGTACGGCCTTCTCGAAGCCATGCCTGACAACACCTAACCACAGTGTCTACACTTCTTTGCACTCTAACTGCAATTGCCCGAAAAGAAAGTCCAGCTTCCCAAAGTCCCACTATACGGCCCCTATCAAATTCACTAAGTTGACGAAATCGTACGGGTCTCCGTACTCTAGGCATCGTAACTGATCGTAAAGGATGTCAAGAACCAAAATCCGCCAACGTTGATTCTTTACTACGGCTGAAATATTCATTTTTAGAGCGTTAGTGAATTAAAAAAAATAGTATAAAAACCGGAATGTCCAACTGATAAGGCTGAACAATTTTTCACTTGCTATTTACAGTAAGATAAATACATTCACCAAATTTTATTAAAATAAAACCATTTAAACTGGGTGTTCGGATTTATATGTCACTTAGTATATTATCCGTTTGAAGTGTACGGAATATTTTTTCCTTAAATATTCTGACAGGTGTGTCGATCACAGGAGGCTCAGAAAGTGTGACATTCTAATGACTTATCATTGTTTTTAGCAAACCAAAAATGATATTTTTGATGCGCCTTCAGTTATTTGAATATTTCTTTCGTAGTATGCAATGCACTGAATAACATATACGTCTAGAAGGTACCCAAACCAATTGAAAGCAGGTTTTTTGACAGGGGAAGCTGTTATAGCCATTCTCACGCAGAAAAACTCGACAGTATTGCCCCACCTGCCTTTCATGTCCGAAGTGTGAGAATCTCCAGGGATAATTGAAAGCAGTATCTGAGCATACTAAGCATCCGTACCCTGATGCACACAGCCACTCATGCTTACAACTATTTACTTGGCGACCACCTTTAGGTGCCACAGTTGCCACCTGCTGCAAATGATGGGGTTTTTTTCCGCCGTAAAGAAATTATAAGGATACAAAATCTTAGGAAGCGTTAGGGGTGATTTGGGGGGCGAGTTTTTCTTGGAAGGTTTAAAGTCATGTTTAAGTATCAACAGTTTCCTTTAAATTGGAAAATGGGACCTGTTTTATTACTTCTAAGAAAATTACGGCGATCCCACTTGGCAACATGGCTGTGATGATGCAACACCGCATGGATCGTTCTTTGTTGTTCTGCGCCCGGTACCACCTTCCACATGTGGCTCTACTTTCCATTTTTGGTTCCGGCATTCGCTTAGAAACTGACTGTTTTTGTCGTGTATATAACAATCGGCAACGTCGAAACATTTCAAGGTTAATGGTGGCGAGCGGCAAAGATCAAAGGGATTCCGCTGTCGTTTTGGAGATGCTGCCAGTGGTGCACGAACTGTTTTTTGCTTAAATGGCAAGGGGGGATAAATCACCTGCTAGAGCTGTCTTTACATTGTGAATCTTCCAGATTCTACTTCAAGAGCGGCAACGCCGAGCATCCGTCTGATAAGCTGTACAACACGACGGTAGAAGTGCTGCCAGTGGTGGACGCACTACTTTATGCTACAGGGAGCGGGGGCGGGGGAAGCTACAACCTTACCACTGACGGGTATATTGTTGTTGGTAAGTCATTTATTATTATTCTTAGGTTAATGAATATCGGCCTTTACAGTGCGCTACAGATATGTCATTTATCCCATAAACAGCGATAAACTGGAAATATAGTAAAAAATTATAACCATAAAAGCACGACTAATTTGTAATAATTTTTCTAGTATAAAATCAATTCTAGCAGCAGTTTGGTTCTTTTTATAATTATAATTGTTAATTGAATGATTAACTATGTAAAATTGTTTGTGCTTTGTAATGTTAACATCAAGAGGAGCCATTCCGGTAATTTCGGTTAGCTTTGTGGCCGCGTAATATCAGTAACCGACGGCGACCGATTTTGATAGAATTTGGGGCAATGTCCTTTAAAACCACATTGAATATTTCTTAGGAGTCTAAACAAGGGAAGGATTATGATCACAAAGAAATAAAGCTTAATAAGTTCCTTCCCCTTAGATTTTGGTTGTACCTTGAAATCTGCATATTCAGCAAGATTTTGTGGGTTTTTAGTATTTGCTACCCCCGTACAGTAAATTATCTCCTGATGCAGATCAGCTCCCCTGAGAAAAGTTCCTGCGCGCGCCCATGTCTGTATATCATGTATCCCATGGAATGCATAACTCAATATATGAAAAGTTTTATTTCAAAAATATTCAACTTTCTTATAACAAGGCATCAGGAACCATAACCCAAAAAATATTTCTGTTACATTCATCAGTATCGAGAGCGACGCTAGCACATTTTCTAGCTTTAGAGTAGGATATTGGATCATTAGCGTATATAGAACGGTCACGATGATGAAGGCTGCCATCAGTACGTTGAGGAAGGTCACTGTCTCTGGAAAAAAGAGAAACACAATGTTATCAACATATAATTAAAATTTTTGGAATCGCGACTTTTTGGAATGTTCATCAGATATTGAGTTCAAATCTGCTTGGCGACTTTCCAACTATAAAAGTATTTTATAATTTTCAACCGTCCATGATATATTTTATTTTTTTGCTTTTAGAACGCTATTTTATTTTACTAAGATTACCTATATAAACATTGTTAAAACGTTGTTAAAAGTAGATATCTTATGAAAATAATTCTGTAAACGTTGTTTGTAAAACATAAATTGTTAGTTAGGAATACACCGGCACTCGCGAAACGTTTCGAAAATGAGATATTTTGTTTTATACAGGGTGACTTTGAAGTTGAGTCATTAATTTTCAGATAATGATTGTAGAAGGAAGATAAACCAAAATATGTGTGTAAAAATAAAAAAATAAATTAAAAAAAATGTTACCTTGTTTTATAAAGTATCCTCCCGACAAGTATTTCAGTGCGGACCTGTATTTGATCGTGAGGTCAGAATAAGGTTAAACGTCAATTAGTTGACAGATAATTTTGTTGTCTGTTGAAACCTGAAACGTTTTTTTCCAATTGTGAATGCACGAAATTTAGTTTCTTTTACCTGTTTTTTTTTTGTGAGTTTAATAAAAATGTCATTTTTATTCTCCAATCAAGAGTTAGCGGATATTCATCTTGTGTATGGCTTTGTAAATGGAAACGCAGCAGAAGCAGCCAGAGAATACGCACGAAGATTTCCAAACAGACGACATCCAACTCGCTCAGTATTTGTAAGAGTGCATCGCCCAATAATTGAAAATGGTTTTGGAAATCTCCGAAGGGATCAAAACATAAATGTTCGTCAGCGCAGATTTACCCGTATGATTCTGCGTGAGTTTGATAGAGATCCGACCACAAGTGTTAGGAGAGTTTCTGGTGCCTTGTGAATTTCAGCAAGCCATGTTTACCGTGTTCTTAGAAATGACCATAGACGTCCTTACCATTTGCAACCTGTGCAAGGACTACAGCCAGGGGACGAAGAACGAAGAATCACATTTTGTCAGTAGATTCTTGATAGAACTGATAATAATAGGGAGTTTTTAAGTAACGTTTTATGGACCGATGAGTCATGCTTCACTAGACCTTGAGTGGTAAATTTTCATAATCAACATATTTGGTCGCATGAAAATCCAAAAGCAGTACGGGAAAGAAATTTTCAGCATGAATTTAGTGTGAACGTGTGGATTGGTATCTACCGTAATCGACTATTTGGATGCTACCTTTTGCCTGCAAGGTTAAATGCTGCGACCTTCTTGGAATTTTTAAAGGCTGAACATGCAAATATGTGGGATGATGTTATGTTAGATTTAAGAAGATTAGCCTGTTTCCAGCTTGATGGTTGTCCAGCTCATTATTCGAGAATAGTTAGAAACTGGCTGGACGAAAATTATCCAGAAAGATGGATCGGCCGTGGAGGACCAGTCGCCTGGCCTCCACGATCCCCTGACCTAAATCCATTAGATTTCTTTGTGTGGGGATTTTTAAAGAAAAAGTATACCAGACTCCCGTAATCACAAGAGATATGCTAGACATAATCAGGAATGCATGTGATGAAATAAGGCCTTATTTGAATAATGCTATACCACGTTCGATCATTGTGTATTGAACAATTGGGTTTACATTTCGAGCAACTACTTTAGATTTTGTATGTTTGTCCTAACTATCCAATAGCATTTTAGTTGTAAATGATTAATTTAATATGTTAAAAATAATATTGGAAAATTAAACAAATTAATATTCTGTTTTTTTGTGTTTATTTGGAGTTAAAATTATTGCTGTGTTTAAAAACACAATCTAAATGATCATCTTAGTTGCTTGTAATGCCCAAATCGAAAATGTAAAAAAAATATTATTTTCCCATAAATAATTAAAAATGCATCGAAACTTAAAAATCGAAATATCTCAAAAACGACTAACTATAACGAAAACTCACAGGAGAGCTTTTTTATGCAGAAAAGTGCGAAGAATCAGTTTTTTATTCAAAAAGCAAAAAATTGCACTAAGAAAAAATTTTCTGCCATTTTAATACACTACAGGTACAGTAGAGAGCGCCCTCTAGCGCCTACAGTAAAACTATGCCCATGGTTCGTTTTGTCGTACCAAAAAACCCTTGTATACCAATTTTGACTGTTATACATCAAATATTGTTCGAAATATTTAAAAAAAAACTATTTTAAAAAGTAAATTTAAACACCCTGTATTTCGGAAGCCACGCATTTTTCGACCCATGTTTATATAGACTTTATGCATTCATTTTAAAAGTTATATCGAATCTTAAAGTTATGCAACAATAAACTGAAACACCCTGTTTACATAACGTACCACCCAATTTTGAAGAAATTTTCGTATGACAACTGCTATATCTAAAAAGCTTTGTAGAATTTGATCCAGTGGCAGCGGAGCTATGGAAAAAAAATAAAAGTCTCTTAAACTTGTTTTTTTTTTTGACGTTTCAGAGACTCCTGACAATTTTTTAAAAAATGTGGGGGTTGCAAATTGGTTGTTGGAGAGGGTACATATTGCACCTTTCGTATGAATTACTCAGAAATATGTGGTTCCAATAGTACTTGTATCACTCATATTTCCCATAATATCCACGTCTCTGACTCTAGAACAACACCAGCTGCCTAGAAACACGCGATATCCTTTATCCTGCAGAGGGTCCGATCCGAATTCAGCAATGCGCACCTTGCTCCAGGGCGTACGAAAATTTTCCAGATAATATTCTCTATGGGCAGTCAGAGTCAAGTATTTCGAAAAAAAGTTGAATCAACAATTTAATTATACTTATTTTCTAACGTCACCAGCTGTAACAGTTCCCATGGATGGCAAATAGAAAGTAGAACGAAAGCTGTCTCAGATACTATTCTGTGGTGCATATTCAAAATCCACAAATTCATTTTTTCAATCATCAATACTCATTTTCCTCTAGGGCATCATGTTACGATACAACGATTTTCGTAGCCTTTAAATAATACAGATATCAGACTGTGAGAGTTGACTATATATTTAAAGTCAATTTGTCCGGAATTGAGTCCATCCACTTGACGCCATTTTTTACTTAGCGCTGGCCCTGTAAAATGAGGGAGCGATATAACTGTATTCAAACATATAAACGCTCAATTTTTACGAAATTCCGCGATTCGCTTACATTAGCTAAGGATATGAAGGGAAATCCACAGAAAAAATGGAATGCCCATAAATAACGTGAATGTCAAGGAGACCAAAAAAATTCAGCGACAGGAATTTAAAGTTGAAAGGACTTGCCATGAACGGGGAAGTTCAGGATTAGAAACAGACACGTGCCTTTACAATGCATTTAGTGCTCTTTAACCGATAATAGTACAGTAAAACATGGCAGGCTTCACTATCATATCTTCAAAAAGTATGTTTCAAGAATTTTTCCCTATGAACTAAGAGTATCAAAACTCCAAACGAGTTCTGTTTCAATGTGCGATGGAAGTCATTTTGTGGGATCAGGCTTATCACTCAATTTACAGACCTCGTATGAATTTCCAAAACACGATCTAAGAAACGGGGATAGGCTGCATTATCCTTAAAATATTAACTTAAACTATTTGTTGTTGTTAGTGAAATTGAATTTTTATCTAGTGAGAGAATACTCAAGTCTCTGTAAAAATAAGATAAATCAGACGCTGACATGGGCTCGATAATGTCCAGTCGCTTTTCACATTCCCCCTAATCTGTGCACTACAGAACCTCTGCTGCACTTAAGACCCAATCCGTTGCAGTTCCTTGAAATGGCAGACCTGCAATTTATAGGAGGTGCTCTCTAGTTGATTAGACGCAAATAGAGCAGAAGCAACTGACCTCGAATACGTTTGCTTAACAGATTTGCTAGCAGGCATACACTTAGTTGGGATGCTCCCTATTGAGCACGTCTAAGAATTAGTTGATTGCTGCAGGCGCGTACGTAAGCTGTTAGTCCGATTTGTGAAGTTTATCAACAGCTCTGAGCCAGTATAGCTCCAACATCCGCAATTCGAGAGTTAAGCTGTAACAACAAAAATCATCTCATTTTTTTATAGACGTCATATTGGATTTTTGCACAGTTGAATAGAGTTTTTAGTTCGAATTCCCTCAGCTTTTATAAACTAGGCACATGCGACTTTAACGATTGGTATTATGTAGCTTCAAATATACTAAGTGACATATAAATAAGAACACCCAGTTTAAATGGTTTTATTTTAATAAAAGTTGGTGAATGTATTTATCTTACTGTAAATAACAAGGGAAAAATGTTCAGCCTTATCAGTTGGACATTCCGGTTTTTATACTGCTTTTTTTTTAATTCACTAACGCCCTAAAATGAATATTTCAGCCGCAGTAAAGAATCAACGTTGGCGGATTTTGGTTCTTGACATCCTTTACGATCAGTTACGATGCCTAGAGTACGGAGACCTATACGATTTCGTCAACTTACTGAGTTTGATAGGGGCCGTATAGTGGGACTTCGGGAAGCTGGACTTTCTTTTCGGGCAATTACAGTTTTTTTTTTTTTTTTTTTTTGGCACTAGGACATTGCTCCATTAGCCAGAATCAAGTATTTATCTATTATATCATACAGACATATATAATTTAAGACGTGTAAAATGGCAATGACGTAGCAAGCAGATCCCCTCAGCTATCAGGGTATTGCAGGAAAGACATTTTGGTGGCACAGTCGTATTTGGGCGAAGGAGCAAGTACTTAACAAACAGTATGGAGAAAATGATTATTAAATTTCTTCTAATGCACACTCTCCACTCTGGATGAAAAACAAAAAAGTAAATATAGAAGAACTAAGAAAGTGTTATCAGGAGGGGGCGGGGGTTAAGCATTACACACAAATTTTCAGATGACATTAGTGTCTAAAGGACACCATAACTACTTATTAAACCTATGCAACTCTAAGGGGGAGGAGAGAGGATGGGTCAGACAGGGAC